TTTTTTTTTTCTAATGAAAACCCTCTGTGCACCTCCTTACCTCAAGGCAACTGCCAGGCGTTCCACGGGTTCAATAGGCCTCCTGTAGTTCGTACATTCCTTCTTTATATCTCCCTTAATTAGGTCCAGTAGATCATCAAAGCATTCAATTGGCATCCGAAAGTAAATATAGAACCGTTCTTCATGCTGTCGCAGTTGCCGATATAAAGTATGAAATTCTCCTTCATGTTCACGAAGCAGATTAAGGTCGTGAATCCACGTTTTCCTACGCTTCTTTCTGAAAAATATATTAACATATTAATTGTGATGTTAATATTTGTAATAACTTCTCAAATATCTCCAATTGTACATAATAATAAAATGAATAATTACCTTGCTTGCTGCTGCTCATCATCAGCTACAGCTGCTAAAAGTATCGCTTCTTCTTCCAGACGAGATAATCGATGCATCATTTACGATGTTGTGCTTACGCGATTTTTCAAACTGATCGCTACCGCCGCGTCGTTGGTGTGAAAAGACTTTATCGCCATCGTGATCGCCACCGCGATCGCGCCCGCCACCGCCACCGCGATCCCTCTGGTGTCTGGAAGCCTTAAACCATCTTATCGCTGTCCTGCGGTTCGCTTCTCTGCTTGGCAACGGTCAAGGTCACACGAGCGACAATTCGCCTTCCGTGTGCGGAAGTGACGTGATGCCCACACGGAAGAACTCTTCATGTGTGTGCGCGCTTCATTTCCTGTCACAGCAGCAAACACAACATACGCGGACAGAGATGGGTTGCGTGGGTGAAATGTGTGCGAGATTTATCTGCACCTTTACGTCGAATTCGTGTGTGAAATTTATTTGTATCCTTACGTCGAAAGCAGGGCCGCGCCATAGCTCAAGCAGTTATCGCTGGCTTACCACCGCGGCGGCCCGGGTTCGATCCCGGGTCTGGTCAGGTGGGATTTGTGGTGGACAAAGTGGCGCTGGGGCAGGTTTTCCCCGAGGACTTCGGTTTCCCCTGCCAATCTTCATTCCACCAATTGCTCCACAATCACCCTCACCTATCATCTGTGGCTGGTACAATAGGCCAGAAGTGGCCGCAGTACAAGGGACTTAGTCCCACCCCACTAGCAATAAAAAAAATACGTCGAAAGCAAAAAACGAAACAGATGGAGGAGCCATAATTTAATTTGAGAAAGGTTACAGAACGTAAAGTCCCTCAGTTCGCTGTCACTACTTTACTCACCATACAATTCTGCGCATAAAAGGAAACGCCGCGGGACGCTAGGCCTGGCTCTTGATGCTGTGGGAAGTGCGGAGCAACGCAGACAAGTCGAAGGGCAGCGTGCAATGGCCTCGCAATGAGCCACGTTTACTTTAGTGGTGCGCTTTAACCGCTTGTTCATGGATAACCAGTGTAATAAACACCAAAAACTGACCTCATTATTAAACTGATTTTTACAGAACTGTGGTTAAAGTGGTGAAGATATTATTTTGTCTGTGGTGTGTTTGTTTCACTGCAAAACTTCAGCTTGCCACGTGCGCAAGTCCGTTCCAAGATTTTTTTTGGGGGGGGCTCACCATATTCAAGAAATTCGCAGCCGCTCTTTCGAAAACTTTTAATGATTTTTCGGAAACGATTCTTAAAGTACTGCAGCTGGAGAAGTCGCTGGTTCAAAACCAGACTTGCTAAAATCCCAGATCGACGCAGTAACGTTGACGGTTCCAACGCAAGTGCGCCCTGGACACTCCAAGCGACTGCCCAGAAGGGGCCCCATAGGCATTCGTCTTTCGTTTTTAATTTCGCACCAGAAGTCTTGCGGCAGTGCTCATCAGGTAAAAAGTAAAGCTATTCCTGTACCAGGCCGTGAAGGCCCATAGGGTTGTGAGATGTTGAGGGTCCCACATTATCTAGACAATCGGCTCAAAGATGGCGGTAAGGTTGTCAGCCTTACGCGCCAGCCGCGTTTTACTCCCCATGAAAATTATTTAATTAATTCCTGGTACTCATTTCTGTTAGAGGCTGAGTCGACCCCAGGACCATAGTGCGGCAGGACAGAGTGTCTTGGGACACTCGCTGTGAAACCTCACCACAAGAAGTGGGGTGGGTTGGAGTGAAACTGTGCCCACTGCATGAGTATGGAGCATTTGGTGGAATGAGAATTGGGAGAAGAAACCGAAATACTCGGTGACAATCTGACCAAGTTCCACTTCGTCCACAACAAATCACATATGACTCGACCTGGGATTGAACCTGGGCCACCGCGATGGGAAGCCGGCGACTAACCGCCTGAACTACAGCCGAAGAATCTACACTGCTAAGATTTGTTACCGGGAAACGTCTAGCAAAGACTGCAGAGGAACAAGCATTGTGGAGAGCTGTTACCTAGTAAAGACTAGCGAAAGTAGACTGAGAAGACTTGGTGTGGAAATCAGCAATATTGTTACAGTTATTTGTAGTTACGCCCTGTGAGTGGTCAATAAATCTATCCACCAATGCAAACCCCGTCTATAGTCACTGATACACGTGGCGATATCAAGGAACATGGCCCGACACACTTGTCGGACGCTCATGACGACGCCGGCCGACGTCCTAAAGAAACCATTGTTTTGCTTCCAGATTTCAAAGGATTTTGTGTGGAAGACTACGAACATTCAACTTACGCTGGCTTACGTCGTGATGGCGTCCACCATTTCCCGTTGCCTGGGTAGTGTGTGACGTCACAGGAGATGTGAACGCCCACTGGTCACCGCCGTACAACAGATCTTGCTCGTGCAGAGGAAGAGGCGATATCTTCACTGGCTTCACGTACTCCACCTGCGGATTCAGGCGAAGCACCGCGGCTTCCTCGTCGTCGTCAATGCTCAGTTTCCTCGCTTTCCCCCGACCTGAAATCAGAAACCACGTGATATTAGTTTTCAGTTCCATTCGTCTCTACAAGACCAGCCGTTGGCAACGTGAAATGCGGGCTGCAACCTCGAAACAGGAAAGAAAAACAAACCAAGGAAACGTGTAACATAATGTCACGATTATAGGTGACAGACACGGCATCAAATTCCAGATTGTAGTCTGTCGAGTAGTCAATGGCTAGCAGTCTTAGGAACAAGGTCCTGGGTTCTGACTATAAGGTCATCTGAAGAGCAGCACAGACTTCAGTCGGCGGTTACGAAGTGCAGTCCTTGCGCCGTATGGGAGTGAGGAATAGCCCTTGTTGAAAGACTGTAACCAGGCAACGACACGTTGTTAGTTAGGCGCCAGGTTGTGAGGACAGGAGCTGTGGAACACGGAAGCTGAGGAATCTACGGCGTTGGGAGCCGTTACCAGGCGACAAACGGAGAAGACACAGCAGACTGAGAAGTCTTAGTGGGTGCTGTAATGAGCTGTAGGGTGTGTGAATAAGCGACACCGCTGCAGTTACTTGCAGTTACGAGTTTCAACAGTACAATAAATGCGACTACCTACCCAACCCCGTCTATGGTCACTCCAATCACGTGCCTATATATTTTAATATCCATCGAGCTTCCTATCCAACGGGTACCGGTGGCTGTTTCCTCGGGTGTGAGGCGGCAGGGGGGAGAAGGTGAAGTATGGTGGAGTTATACCTTCACTCCCCCATACGTTTTCATAGCGTGGTGCTTAATTAAGCAAAGGGAAACTTTTACTCTTCTAAATTTATCAAAATAAAAATCAATTGTAAATATAACTTTAATTTTAAATCCAATCCTTTACCCAAGGGAGGAAAACAGAAGAAAATGACAGAACATAAGGACGCGTGTAATCGGGAGATTGGTGCATGAAAGTCGAGACACGTCATGTCGTCAATTGCGTAACCTGACGACCAATGTAGAGTAGAAATGGCTTCTTGAATAATAATTAATCACACGTGTTGCATATAAGGACCGGTTAAATATAGCCTATTAAAACAAGAGGCAATAGGATGCTGCAATATGTTAGGTACTATGACAACTCCATCTGCCGCAATTAAAAGGCATCAGACTGCTGTAACGGCTCAGTGCAAAACTGTCCAGGACAGTGACACACATCACTTCTCCCAGGATGTGACTGAGGAAAACCACACCTCCTCCTTCAGGATCAATTAAACAACCAGCAAGACACTGGCTCCTTCTACACCACTACACAACGTCATGCCTCAGAAGACAGTACTGTTCATAATCAGCGTCGAGTCCTATGAAAGCTCGCCGACGTTTCGGAGGGAAGTACTGTCTCCAGCTGCAGGGTATAAGAGTAAGGTAGGCCGCACACCAGCATGGGTCAAGACATGTAACAGTCAAGATACGATGTCTGCAACATGACGCAAAGAAAGGAGTACAGTTGAAACGAATGAGAATATGAAAACCGCCGCACACCGGTCTGAGTCATGATGCTGACGTCAGTTTCGTGCTGCAGACACGTGTAGCAAGACTCAGACATCAGTACTGAGGGAACAGCAGCAGTGCACGTTATCGGCATGACGTCATGCTACTTCGGTGTGCGGACTCGAGTCTGAATCACGAATGAAGCAAGACTGCGTCTTTTGTCTCATGTCTTGATGCTTGTCTTGACGCAGTTGGTGTGCGGACGCCATAGGCCAAACACAGACAAAATCGTCAAGACCGCGGCAACTCGCTGCTTGTTTCATTTTCCCTTCAACGCTGAAGGCGGAGGCAGTCGTTCCATGCGGTGCCACCGCTGTCAGGAGCTGAAGTCAAGCGCGTGCGTATTACAAGTTAGAACCTTGTTGGCAGTGTGACATGCTAGCCGTGACCCCATGCTCTTCACCTAATGAAACTCAGACCTTAGGTAGAACGACTTCCTTTTTTGTAACAATATATCACAAACAGGATTCCTTGTTTCTCTGCCTGCCACTGCGAACGCCACAGCGTGTACACTTGCAGAACTGTTCAACTGTTCAACGCCTGTCTTCCGTGGAGGAACCGCAGCGTTTCCAATGTCCCAGCACCTAAAGTAAAGCTATCCCTGTAACAGGCCGTGGGGGTCCAGAGGGCTGTGAGATGTCGAGGTTCCCACATTCTCTAGACAACTGGCTCACAGATGGCGGTGATGTTGTCTGCCTTACGCGCCGGCCGCCCTTTACCCCCAAGAACATTCCTGGTACTCATTTCTCTTAGAGGCTGAGTCGACCCCAGGGCCATAGTGCGGCTGGAAGGATTAGGTCAATTGAAAAAAAAATGCAATGGCCTCATCGGGACTTGAACCCGCGACCTTCTGGTTTGTAGCATAGTGCCTCAACCAACTATGCTACCAAGTCAATTTCCCCCCCCCCGGTACTCATTGTATAGGAGGCTCAGTGGGCGCCAGAGTCGGTCTGGACGCCGTGCCCCTGAGTGATCAGCTTCACGCCTCGGCTGCTTTGTCCCCAGGAAAGGAGCCTTCAGTACCCATGGGACAGGAGACTGAGTGAGCCCACAGCCGGGCTCGATATGGTGAACATCGCGATCTCTCGGTCACTGAGCTGCGCTTATCGGGGAGGGTTACGGCGGTACCGCAGACAAAACACCGATCTTGCTGGCGCTGTGCTACCACTCGGTTAGAATTCTGGCGTGTTTCCGATTTTCCTGGCTCACACGTTTTCAGTCTTACCCTCAGTATCTCCAGCAAATATATGCGTAGTAACCCAATTAAGTCGCGACATCTCCTCTCAAATCCTTTCCAATTAATGACTCGACAATGACCCACGACAAAAACGCAGACAATGAACACAGCAAAATAAAGAAACTTACAGCCTCCTCTTATAGCAGAAAAGCCAAAAGTCTACATATCGCTATTGTGTATAATATAAGCACAAACACACATCAGACACACCGGGAAATAATAACCGCCTCCCTAGACGAGATGACAGCGCGCTCCCGCCTGCAGACGTATCCTCTCAACTGACTAGCCACTAAAGGTAAAGGCAAAATTGTCCCTATGCGTAGTGGAATAAGGACCACACCATAAAGACGCAGGGAGGAGTGGAAGTATAGCTCCACCATTCTTATCTTCGGCACTAGATGGAGGTTGAGTGGTCAGCTTTACACCCGAAGAAACAGCCCTCGGTACCCTTTGCCACCCCTATTCAAGGACATCACGGCAGCGTGATCCCGCGACTAGCTGCTTGAAAAGTCATCTCTCAACTACCCAGCCACTCAGCAAGACAAAGTACTAACAGCAACATTAAGCCAGTAAGTACCGTGTCCAGTGTGGCCATGTTGCCCCGCCTTCCCCTACTCAACTGAATATTGGCGTAACGACTCGACCATCACTAGAGAGGTTCAAAGAATCACGAAGAACTGAACCTAAGACATTAAATTTGCGGAGAATATGACTGTTATTACAGCAGGGAGGTCTAATCCTTCAGGACCTTCAACTGTATCACACACACGCATACATAGTATCTGAAAGGACATAAGTGCCCATCCTGTAGTGCCCGGTAGTGCAGCATCGCAAATTAATCTCTGGATTACGTTGTTTGGGGGAAGGAATGGCAAGTGCGTCACACAAAGCAATACCATCCATCCCACATATTTTCGTGGTTATCATGTTCGGTATTCCCCTATCTGACGTTAGAATAAGCAAAGAACGAGCCTTGAAAGTTTTCACGGCGTGTTTTGCCTTTCATTCCGGAATTTACGGGTAAACTTTCATTTCTTTCGTAATTTATATAACAGCAATCATAAATTCTTCCTTAGTATGCAGAACTACAAGACTCATTCACAGATATTTATAAGACAGCAACAAATCACGGAACTGAAATTCAGCCACAGAGTCCTCTCTTCTCGTGCGTGTCTTGGGAAAAATGAGACCACTTTAAGCTGCAGTATGTGAGTTTAACAGTCAGGAAGGCGGTAAGAACACAGCTTGCATGCAGAAATAAAGCTGTCCGTGTGCTTAATTAATTAAGCACTAGGACATGAAGACGTATGGGGGAGTGGATGTAGAGATCCACGTATTCTTAACCTCAGCACTAGTTGGAGGTGACTGGTTAGCTTCACGCCGGTCTGGACAACGTGAAGAAAATTCTTGACCCTACAGGGACTCGAACTCTCATCCCTCAGTCGTCCAGTCCGTAGCCAGTCGCAGTAGCGGCTACGCTATCCCGGCTCCTGCAAGGTGTATGAAAACTGTAATATTTTATTATTCAATATTAAAAACTGCGAGAAAATTCTGTTTCTTCTTCATTTCTCTCTTCGCAGTTTTAGCATTTTGCTTTAGAGATAGACTTGCCTCTGAACACTGTAATAACGACAGCACTTCACAGTGTGGGAGGTGCGACGTGCGAACAAAGTCAACAGCAGAGACAGAAGGGCTGCAGAGAATGCGGGTCACACTTACTCTCCTTCACAGAGGCAAGGGTGTCCAGATGCTGTGCTTTACTTTCTCACCTCCTGCGAATGCGTTAAGAGTCTATCAGATTTTAATTTGCTTTCATCAAATGGACTCATTAATTACCCCCTAATTTCAACTACTAACATCTCACTTTTCTGTTCAACAGAACTGCTATTATAATTATAAATACCTTAAAGAGGCGCATTTGCCCCGCCTTCCCCTACCAGTGCATCTGTCAGCCTCTGTGCAGTCTCGCGCGCATGACATTAATTGTGTCACGTATAGTAATGGTGTAGGTGGGCAGACTGGCTTAGGCCTAAAGGAAGTATTACCATATAAAGGACAAGAAGCAAGGTTAGCTACACTGCAGTGACTTCATTCGTAGCACAAGCAAAATATATCTGCACAATTAGATCGCTGTGCGGGACATCTGGCATTGTAATGCACTGTATTGACTGCTGGCGCCATTAAAGCTGAGGTCTGTCTTCATTTAAATCACGAACTCCAACTCAAAAGGGTAAGCATAAGATTAACACTTAACATGACATGTGCTCTTGTGTTC